CATTAATAGTTTCTTAGAATTACTTTGGAATTAAAGTAGTAAATACTGCGGCGTAAGTAACATATTTGCATTTATTTCTTCTGTACTAACAAAGTTGTATGTAGGGAGAAATAAGATATAAATAAAGTTTTCGTATTTAGTTTTTTTTTTATCTTTCTTATTTCACTTTTCAATACGATATTTGGTTAAACGTCAATTTTCTTTTTATTATATTCTGAAGGAAATTTTGCATAATTTAGCGGCCCCCCGGCAAACTTCTTATGGAACCCCATGGGGCCGCGGCCCCCATTAAGAAACACTGGTATAAAGAACCAATGTTCATAGTAAAAATGACTGTATAACATTACTGTGTATTGATTTTTTTCTATTGATTTATTGTAAAATATAATGTTTAGGTGCTTAATTTTTAAAAGTATAACGTAGTTTGATGTTAATCAACTTTTTCTTAATTCTTCCCTATTATCTGACATTTTTGCCCGCCCGTTTATATCGGGTAATCGAGACTCTACTGTATATGTAAAGTCATATTTTAAAAAACCCCATATTTTACAAAAATTAGAAAAAAACAACCTAGAAACTAAGAGAAGGCCGAAAAACCCAAATCTGTGTTTTAAAACCAAGAAATGGTAACCCTGCTTAAACCCCACGTGCTAATACCGCAACTCCGTAATCATATTTAACTCTATTCACATCGCATTGAGTTATTGTCCAATATTATTTTAGCATAGAAAATTTTGTGAAATTATAAAATCAAAGTATGAAAAATATTTGCAATTTTCTCCCTTCGACAGTTCTATCACGTGACCTCCTTCTTACGCATTCGTTTCGTCATCAGATGAAATTGACGTTCAATAGAGGGAAGATGGTGTACTTCAATCTGATCGTGGCCCGACAGTAAGTTCCAAACATTTTGTTTTCTGCGAATTTCCGAACGAATAACACGATTTTCTTTTACTTTGTTAAACGTTCTAGCGGCGAAACCGATTACAATAAGGATCGTCGAATTCAGGGTAAGGACGTTGCGCCAACCTTCGCTTCCTTTAATAAATAAATACCAACGATTTTACAAATTTACGCCTTGATTAATACGTTTAAAGTTATTTAATTTAAAATTAATTTGTATTAAAAAACTAACCTTTTCGCCTTACGAATTTCATATTAATTCCAGTTTTATCGGAACCGGCTGGTGGCGCAACTAGTAGCAAAGATAAATTTTTTTTGGTGCTCGTTGCGATACTTGCCGATAGCCGAGAAAATCACTTTAAATCTGATTATTAACTAACGATCGGGATCGATTTAGTTTTATCGATCGGATCTCAACTAATTCCGTTAATATACTGATTTATATTTCTGTAAGATCTAATTGCGTGAGAAACGGATCCCGCGATTAGCGACACCTCTAAGATCGTGTTAAATGGATCGGGGTAGCAAATGCTGCCTGGCGAGATATTCGCCTCTCTTATTCTCGCCGATTAAGTGATTCTCCGATTTGCCCTCACTGCGGGGCTCAGGAGATGACCCTTCATTTTTGGCTGCAGTGCCCGTAAAGATCTGGGCAAGACACTGAACATTAACCTATCACACACCAGTACTTTGCTTTCTATTTATGAGCCTTTGACCACCATTATTCCCTGCCATCACGTGATGGGGCTTGAAACATACGTCACTCGCACCGATTGCTTCCACTGACCAATGAGTGCAGTCGATTCGGAGAAAGAGCCAACACAGCTAATATCTCTGTATAAACCATGAGGAAGGGTTGCGAGAGATTTAGTTTTCGCAAAGGAAAATCGTGCACAAACGAGAAGCGAGAAATAACACTAGTGAGAGCGAATTTCTGGTTCTCGCACATATCTTACATGTTTTGATATTTATCTCTTCTCGCCACATATTCTCGCTTGCTTGGAAAATTCGCTCGCTCATGTCTGCATAGTCGCACCCGAAGAGAAGAAGAGATATTTGTCTCCAAATTTTGATGACGTCACATGTTTATTGGCACAATATCGAGGTTCAAAGTAATACAAATAAAGTTTGAATTGTAAGCTGTGATGCCAGGTTAAACTTATCGTACTAATTTGTTTTAAAAGGTCAACTGGACATTCCACTATCTTCGGAAGGAAGAAGACAGTCCATGCTGCTCGGGCAAAGGTTGCAGGATGAAGCATTCACCCATGTCTATACAAGTAAACTCTCTCGTGCTATTCAGGTAGTATTTTTGTTACTAAAATAGAATTCCTCTTAATGCAATTTAAATAAATCCTATTGTTTTTAATAGACTGCAGAATGTATTCTGGAGAAGAATAAACATTCGAAACCGGAAATTATGATGGACGAGATACTTGCAGAAAGGGTAAGTGTAGTAACGAAATTTGATGGGAGTTAAATATTTATTGTGGTACGAAACAGTGGAGTTTTCTCTTAATTCATTGTTGAAATTATTATGCAACAATTTAGAAATTGTATTAATTGAATTTTGTTTCTTCAGAGTTTTGGAGAGTTGGAAGGTAAACCATTCAAGCTCATACGTGAAATGGCCAAACGGCACAATCTGACAGAAGAAGAATACAGTCCCAATGGTGGGGAAACCACGTCACAGGTAAGAGTTTTACATATGTAATGGCCGACACACCGTACAAACTTATTGGGCGATCCATTGGCTGAGCGAGTTTGTACCAGTGGATGCTCCAGTTAATACAGATAATCTAAATAAATTATAGTGTGGGGATCTCGCTTTGGAGGCTCTGGCCTTAAAACACTAGGAAGGTGACCAAACAAGTGCATTTGACTGGGAAACGACTATATATGGTAGTGATCAAAGTTTAGAACCAAGAATAAAATTTCATATAATGTATAAGTGAAAATAAAATTCTGCACATGCAAATTATGTATTTTCATGCATTGTTAGTAATTTGTCATTAATTCTCCGGAGTGCCGGTCAAAAGTTTAGGACCAAATATAAAATATAGCTACATAAAAAGGCACTTAATAAGTATGAATAAAAATATACATTAACACGAACATAACAGTCTAAAATACAATTGTAATTTTCTAGAAAATAAGGCAGAATGTGATTCCTAAAACAAGACTGCGAATAATAATGATGGATTGAGGTTACTGAAACTATTCGAAAATAGTGAATTGCAACGAAACTTTACATGCTCGAGCAGTGCAGCTGTTTAATGAAGCCAGTGGATTTACCAGTCGTCCAAAATCTGGATGGTCACAAAAAAATAACAACACCACCATCGAATGTAAAAAAAAAAAAAAATTGGAATCTCACATTGAGACCTGCAAATAAAAATGGCTTAATGTGACAGCACCCCAACTAATGGCAGGCATGTTAGATGTAGATTAAACAAATTTCAATAATTATTATTGTTATGTTTTTTTTACTCTCCGCCCTGTGGGCACTAAGAGGGCCTCTTTCACTTGCAGGTGCGACAGAGGGCTGCGTCCTTCTTCGAGGATCTCTGCAAAAGGTTAGAAACGGAAGAGTCTCATGCAGAAGCAGAAGCTCGTCAGCCCGTCGTCCTATTGGTGAGCCATGGCGGATTCATAAACGAATTCGCTCGTCATCTCCTCCAGGATCTAAATTGCGTAATTCCAGAAGGAAACAACAGAAAATCCCTGTTGAAATTTAGCCCCAATGCCAGTGTTTCCAAATTTGTAGTCTCCAGAAAGGGCTCTTGTCATCTGCACATTTCCTGTATTTACTTTTATGACCGGCGGCATCTAGACGACGATTGAGATTTCATTTTCATAATAGTATCACCTAATTGCGGCAATTGGCAGAAATGTTAAATTGTTTTGTGTAAATAAACAATTACAAACAGCTTCCTTGTGCTAAAGCATTTTATTTATATATATATGTAATGTTTTTTTTTTTTAATGCGTCATCTGTCTCATACAACTCGATATCTTCGATCAATATTTTATAATGGAGAAAATAAAGGTTTAACAAAGAATGACGAGGTCAAATTTGCTCATGGCATCTTTAATTTCAACAAATTTTCCGATATAGTACTCATATATCACAGTGCTAAACAAAGATTTTCATAATGCATATCACATTAGAACATAAACTAGTCGACCCTCGAAGATCTGGAATTAGGCACGGATTCCGACACCCATACCACACCACCAACTATTAAGTGGTACAGTACAGTTCTCTCTCACTCTCTACTAAGTGCAAGTTATACTGTAAGGGTTTTGACATTTCAGATCAAAAGCTGGTAAAAATCTATGGTAATTTTTACAATTAAAAGGTTCAAAGTTGACCAATACCCTACACTAAAACACAATAAATTTAAAGGAAATAGGGTGTTACACTAGAATATTGAAACTTTCTCGTGCTGCCTCCAGATTTTCAAGGTGCACTTTCTCATATCTTTAATTTTTTTAGGCATTCAAAAATAGTGTTTTTTTTAATTTTTTTTATTTACATATACACAATGTTCTTTAATTTTAGTTATATTTTTGATAATATACTGATTTACTGTTTGGTTTTTTTTTTTACAATTAAAAATATACAAATGTATATATATATATATAATTTATATAGACAAAAATATATGATTCTCATTTTGGGATAGTAAATTATGATAAATGTTCTCGAGCATCTGCAGGCATCTTCCATTGGTACGCAAGGAATTTAATAAAATGGCACATTTAGTACAGAGACTATCGCTTGTGCCATGCGAACGATGCGGAAACTAACCAGTAGCAAAAGGCATCTTCGCTCGTTTTTGTACTAATTGTCCAAACATCTTTTTCTTGTCAAACGAAACGAGTATTCTCCCATCCATCATGTAATAGAGATTCTGAGTTCAACTTTGAATGCCAGCCCACTGCAAAGATGGCACCTGTTAACACACCGGAATCCTTGCAAGTTGGCCGAAAATATTTTTAATTTGCATATTTTTTTCCATGAAATGACAAAGTGAATTTAACCTGCAAACATCGGAAACCGTTGTTGCTAACAAAACAAGAGAGAAGATGCGCCATTGAATTTTCTATTGTAATCTGCAAACAACCGACAAAGATATTGGAGAAGGATCCAAAATTTACATATGTCATCATAATTTACATCTCTAGCAATTTCAAACAGTAGAAAGAAATGATATCAAAATTTGGAAAAATCACATTAAAATTTGGACTTTAAGAATTTCTGTCCCACAAAAATATCAAATATTGTTACTTTGTGCCCTCTAAACAATATACAGTAAAACCTCCTAATGCAACCACCCGTATAAGGTGATCACATTAGCAGGTTTCACTGTATCATTGTACCATTTGATTTTTCTATAAAATCTATAACAACTAAAAAAACTAAGTATCAATACCATAAAGAATAGCTTCTGTATTGGGGTAGAAAATAATTGGGATTTTGGTAAGAGATTCAACAAAAAAGTAAAGACATGGATGGAAAGATTGGTTTTTCCGTACATCATGGCACTTTGGGCAAGGATTTCAATGGATATAATTATATCATTCAGCAGAAACCCTTAAAATCTCTTCTCGGCCCAAGTGACAAATGACTAGATAATCGACATGAGATCAAAGAACACTCCTCTACTTGCCTAAATCAAGCGCTTTAAAAGCAGAAATCGGAATGTTATCTAACACAGAATTTTTACCTAATACCACACACATTTATATTTAAAAAAATTTTTTTCTTGTAAAATCGCTAAATGGATTAAAATTGAAGTATTAAATGTATAGTTGGAAATCTCTGGTTAATGAAGAAAGAGGTAACGATTGTAAATAAATCTTTAAAAATTTATATTCATAGAGAGGATGGCACCAGTGTGCCATTGCACCTTCGAGATTCTGGAAATTCGAGATGATTTGCAATGTGGCGTATTGCCAGTACCCGATTGTCCTCTCAATTATATTTCGCCAACATATAAATAAAAATTCAAAAACAATAAAACATATATATACACATATATACACACATTAAACTATGAATGCTTCCACAAGCTAAAAACCCACTTAGTGTGAAAGTTGAGCAAATTATATATTGAAATTATACTTTGTAAACATAAAAATGAATAAATGCTAATTGTACATTGATGATGAGATCTGCAACATAATAATAATAATTTAACCATGGCATAACGCGTAATATGTTATTGTAAAAGGTGGAAATCTTCTGCTTTGGTAGGTCATTGTGCTTTCTTAATACATTGTTTTGCTGTTTTTGATGATATTTGGCCTTTCGTGGAGTTTGCACGTAAAATATCACCTCTGGTAGAATTAAATCATCCGATTTACGCGAAAAGTAAAGTGAACGTCTTTATGTATACTCGTAAAAAGCACGCGTATATCACTGTTCGAAAGCAAATGAAATTATCACAGCTCTGGCGTAATTTGCAGAAAAACATACTTTGCACGCACTACATTCCGCTGGTATGCGACGAGGCAAAAAATTTCCCGTGCAGCAGACTTTCTCCAGATGTTTCCAGGGTGTTTACTGGATTGCTAATTCCATGTATCAGGGGAATGTTCTGCAGTGGAGGTTTCAGATCTATGGGACTGCCCGGTTGACTTCCGGTGTCGATAATCTCGCGCTGCTTTTTGTGTTTTTCCGACTTTTCCGTGGTGGAATGATTCACGTTGACGTTCATCATCTGGTTGACATCATTGTGGTTCAACAGACTCAACGTTCGTTTGGGTTTTCTATCGAAGTTACAAAAGAACTTAGAAGACAAGGCGAACGGTCTCTGCTTGTATCTAGAATGTCTGTATTCGCTACCTGTGTTTCGGTCTTCGGTCACTGGCACAGATGTCGTCGAACTTCTGCGCATGTCAAAGTTTTCTGAGGAATTTCTACTACTCTGCTTAGTACTGCATATGGAATACAGAGAGACGCGCCGAACAGAACCATCGCAGTCCGTGTTCTTCAACTGATCGCAGAAATCACCAGTTCCTGCAAACACAAATGTAAAATTGTCAGAAAATTAATAAAAAAACGAAACTGCAGTGGAATATGTTCAAAATTAGCTTACATTCTATTTACAGACAGTCCCAATAGGCTGTCATTGCTTCTCCTCAATAAAACAATAATCACTAAAAATGCACGTTATAGTGTATTTTTTAAGTATCAAATAATCAATATATATAGTAGAGCGTCGTTTATCTGAATCAATTGGGGACTGAGGTTGTTCGGATAACCGATTATGTACAAAACAATATATTAACCTATCCCATGTTGAAATTTTTCCCCGTTGTGTGTCACTTCGCATTGAATTTTCGTCGATGTTAAGCCTAACATAAACTTTTTAAAATAATAATCGTGGCTATTGTATCGTTAAAAATTATTTCTTTATTTTTTACAAACAAAATAAATATATTGAAAAATGTAAAAAAAAAAGAAAAAAGTTTAGAAGTTAATCTAGTATCAAAAATGTTCGATTCAGCACGACACACAGTCCTCAGAAAAACACCACACAAAAGTGCCAGTGCTGCCAGCTAAAACACATACACAAATGTAAAAAATATTGTTGTAGCCCAAGATATAGCCGAAGATTGCAGCACCATAGCACAGCAAATATTTAAATTTGCCAACTGGAATTCTTTTGGATAACTGATGTTTCAGACAACCGACTTTCGGATAAACGACGCTCTACTGTGTATATATATATATATACACACATCTATTTCAACTTATAACAGGATTCTATTCCAATGTAGTATATGCAAATGAAAACACAATGCAAAATGGTAGAAAGACAGGTTACTGGATCAAGAGATATTTTATACTAAGGTGACTATATATTGATAGTAATCAATATCAATAATGACTGTGAGAGCCTGGACTTGACAAAAACGTTGAGGGAAAAAATTTTTGTCTTTTGAAAGTTAAATTAGTTTAAATCCCAGTGAAAAAATTTTCAATTTAATTACTGGAGGATGCTTGCATCTTTCACCCCAAAGCCACTTCCTTTCTCACTAACTAACAAATATTCACCATTGGTCAAAAATAGTAACATGGCTTAGAGGGTGTTGAAATCAAGGGGAGGACCTGAAATAAAATGGTAGAATCGATGACAAGAGAGTGCGCTAATCCACCTCCTTTTCAGGTGAGTTTAGTTTAACCATGCTCCATCACTGATCCCTTCGACTGCCCTTTCACCAATCTGTTCACTGTAGGCATCCTTAGCAATGAACATTTGATAGCGAACTGTGCTCATCAAGGAACCTAATTCTCCATCCTGTCATCAGACGTTTTGCGATCTCAAGACTTTGATTAAGGTATTTAGCATCATGCATAAAAATAAGCTCTCTCTCTCAGCTAGGGACCCGTTAAAATAGTACTTAATAGTATAAAGCCTAATCAATTATGTTACACTATATAAGCCTTATCCAGTATAAGATGCTATATATGATAAAAGCTATAACGGAACTCTGTTATCCTATGTATCTGTGTAAATAGTTTACATAAATAAATGAGTATTATTCCTTTATAATTAAGTTATAGTGTGCATTTCTTCGGAAGCATTGTCTTGGAAGGTTGGACATCCATCCAACCTTCTGAACCTGACTGCTCACAAAAAGAAAGAAAGGCCATCGAGGTTTCTGTGTCTACCCTAAAAGACACAGTGGTGTCAGTCCTGACATAGGCATCACTGATCAGGTGCCAACCCTTCAGTCACTGACAAAAACATAATGCACAAGTTTAATAAAACCATTCAACATATCACAAAATGTTTTATAGAAAATATAAAATTATATATACAGTACTATTATATGGCTACTAACATACTTGCTTTATTCAGTTTCAACTGTATGTACTGTACTGTACTGTACATCGTGTTTGCTGATACAGCTATTATGAATGCTTTATGAGATGACTCTTGCTACTTTGAATAGTCATATAGTATGTCAAGGGATTATAAATTAATCTATATATCCACTAATTTACATGTTAATTATATTGATTTAAAAAGTATTCTAGTAATAATACTATGAAACAGCATTTTGCAAAATGTGGTTCATTATCTCATACTGTTTGCCTCCCATGGATTAGTTTGTGCACCAAGCCAGTTAGTGATACTTCTTTGCATTTAGACTTTTAGATGCCTCCCCAAATGACTTGCTTGCTCAAATTTGAACTGATACTCTCATTCTCTCAGCATTTGTTTTAATAAACATTTGTCGAATTCTCACTACTGTTGGCACATTGTTAGAATTGTTATTCATATTTGTTCTGTATTCTTTGTGTTAACCAATATTTTCAGTAAGGTTNCACACTCGGTAAGTAATCCTATAATTTTTTGTTTATAGCATAGTTTATACAGATTATTCCCAAAAAATTATACGTGTTTTGGAAATGTTGAGTGGAATTAGTCTAGAATCGGTTAATTTTATAGAAGAAAACCTTTCAAACAGCCTTAGTCCGTAAAGTTCACACCTATCGAGGCTGCGATTGGCTCATATATTTAATCATTCCTACAATGTAAAATTCGATTAGCGTGGAACGTATCTAAGCGTTATAGGGGGGGTCTACTGTATAGTATGATACCTGTCATATTTTTATTTCTTAGATAAAAGAAATACTATTCCAAAATAAAAACATCTCAGAACTAACAGTCATGCTGAAACATGTCTAGCAAGTGAAAATACAAAATTTTTGTAAATATAAAACCAATTAGAACATGTTACTGCAGTCAAATGCACGGGTGGGTTGTGCAATTATTGCTATAAGAAAGTCAAGATGTATTGTGTGTGCAACGCAATTCAAATTTCTATGACAAAATAACCTACAAAGGTTAAAGTAGCTAATTGCCAAAAGGTTGGCAATTAGCACTCATCTTTTGTTAGATGTAATAATTAGAATATATTTAGATTAAGCAATTTAGAAGTTTTTGGAAGAAAAGATAGACCCACAACAGGGTTTAAACCTTTGTCTTTTATGTCTTTTTCTTCCAAAAACTTCAATTTGGTTTTATCTAAATTTATTATAATTATTAAATCTAACATGAGATGATGCCCAACTGCCTGCCTTTCAGCCGAATTACTTTGTTTTGTCATTAATCACCTACATATTATAGCCCTGAAATTGTTCTACAGTCCACTTTTAATTGTGATTGATATTATATTCCACGTGTAGCAAAGATTCCAGAAAATTTTAAAATATTCAGTAAAATTTCAATTACCGAGTTTATTTTCTTTCAATTTCTTGTCATCGTCTTCGTCTTCCTTATTCTGTGCCATGGCCGCCCGAACGCTGGCAGCCAACAGCTGGCCATTGCCGTTTGGTGTCGACGTCATATTGCTCTACAAATATAATAAAATAATTTATTTTCATTTATTTTATACCTATAAAATATGACTGACAACACCCAAATTCTTCTGTATTTAGGTTTTGACCATATAATCAAAATATCAAATATTTCAAATTCTACAAAAGTTAATTGTTCAAATCTATAAAATATTGCTATAACCATTCAATCTTTCTGACAAAAGGTTTTGATAATACAAAAAGACCAATGGTATTCTATGGAAATTCCACCCTAACTGTAAGCGTATTGTAAGAAAATAATTGTCAAATTTTCAAAAAGAAAGACCTCAAAGTCCTCTTTGGAGAAACTGGGAAATTTTATATAATCAAAATTTTTTTGAACTCTTTGTTCTCAAAGTTAAAGCTTATATTTGGGTTTGCTTGTAGAGCAAAAAAGAATGTTATAGATGAAGTACACTAGAATCTCTCTAGTCCATCATTCTGCATCCAGGCATTCTGCATCTTCGCAGCAGGGGAGCACACGTAAAATTTTTGTGTTACCACTTACTGTATGCCACAGGGAGAGAGAGAGAATGACACATGTGTATACTATATAACACTAGTTGTTGCGGATATAAAATGGTCACAATCATGATTAACATGGTAGACTAATCTGCAAATTGAGAACTTCTTTTACAGTATAGTATGTATGTACAAAATGTATCATGTGATTGTGATTTTACTTAAAATGTATCATGTGATTGTGGCAAGAGCACCAGAGGACGCTTTTATCATTTTTTACATTTTAACTACGGAGGCAGTAGCCTAAAAAGGAAGGTCATCTCTGTGAGTATTTGTGTTTTTTAATGAACTGCTGATGGTGTGAACAACGAAAAAATGACTGAAACAAAGAATTTTTCTTTGTAAAAGAGTTGTATTTATTTTTAGTATATTAATGTATGTACAAAATTCTGCAATCCGACACCTGCTGGTCCGATAGATGTCAAATTACAGAAATTCTACCATATTAGTACAAGGAAAGACAAAATATGCTGTTTATGGATGATAGGAAATCTGTGTACAGTATTTATTGCAAGTGTTGAATAACAACACAGTTATAACTAATATAAAATTATTGATAATAAAATTTTTTGAAAAATATTTTAAATGTAACTGATACTGATATTATTTATACCTATCTACATAAATAAGTAATGTTCAAACAGCAGAGATTTACTCTAACAACAGTTTTTCAGGAACCAGTTAACTCATATTGCCAAGTTCAATGCTATAAATTTAGTTTATATTCCTGGAAATGCAGTTTGAAGTATATAACACCATACAGATGACAGAAAAATTTTGGACATTTTATAGCAGTCAAAAACACAGGATTCTACCATACTGACTGCGTATTACCCTGCATATTTATCAATTTCTGTATTGGTTCACTATAATTATTAACTTCAAGCCATGACTAATCTAATTGGATGGACTAAACTAGAGTTTGTGAGTTGGAAAATAGAGAAACCGTCATAACCCTGTAGATTAAAACTGTTGTTATAATAAAAAAATGAATGTAAAAAATAAAGCTTAATATACTATTGTTCAGTAGAGATGTAAAGTGTACTGTGGGAATCCATTGTATTGTCGACATCGTCATACTTATTCAATAATTGTTGTCAAATCTACTACCTGAGAGAATCTCCACTTACACCTTCTCAACAGCAAAAATGACGCATTCCTGTAACCCGCTGACCTCTTGGCTGGGTGATATTGTGCTAATAGCATAACTGATGGACAAAGAGGCAGTCACCATTTAGTTCTTCCTGAGATAAGAAGTCACCAGCCGATTCCTGAGGATAGTAGTCACCAGTGCCTCTAATGTGTTAGTCAATTCAGGACCTCCTATATTACCTTAATGAATACCTTGGCCATTCTCCGTACAAAGACTCCTCCAGCAACGGATATCACCTATCCCACTAACAGATATTGCCAAATCCCCATCACAAGATATTGCCTATTTCTGAATGGTTCTGATCCTTGAACTGTCCACACAATAACACTACTATCAAAGATGAACTTTCACAATTGGAATGTGACAACTGGAAAATCCATCAGGTATTTATCTCTACACGCAATCAAATGTAAACTCTCTCTTGTGATCACGATGTTAAATAAGTCGGTAATCTGATATTATGATATGTATCCTGTAACCTTTTTTTTGTGATCATTAAATGGTTATTTAGTTATTTTCTTAGCACAATGTTGCTGATGAGAACATATCACACAGGAACACTTTCAGAGGAAAAAGGTTGTTTTATTGGTGTGAACGGATATGCATTTTGGGCTTAACGCCCCTCTTTGGTCCTGAGATAGTGACAGTTAAACCAACATGACTCATAAGAAGATATACACATAGTTGAAAAAGGAAAATGGAGCTAAAAGTTCTTTTGGCTCCACACATATACATTTAGGTTATTTAGTTATTTAGGTTATACAGGTTATTTAGTTGTTAACTCTCCTATCTGAGTACTTTACTTCTGTCGGGCTGTCTCTCTGTCCTCCATCCAAAATCTGATTACCCACACATGCGGCTGCTCACATGACCAATGTTCCAATACTGAATTAACACGCCTTCTCGGCTTCCGCATCCATCAGGACAAGGTGCTGTCAGTCGGGACAAGGTGCTAAAGTTAGGTGCTGACCCTCTGGTCACAGTATGATCGACTGTTAAGTTTTCTGCTATTTCATTATAAGAGGAAATGTCTTGAGCAGAATTACATTCAAATGCCACTACTTCAAAGTAACTCAATAGAACTGCTTCGATTAAAACAAATCTGAACTTTTCACTTAACTGTTTCTGCCCCGTGGACACTAAGAGGGCCTTTTAATCATACCCATTGTGGGTTTGACCAGATCTGCGGCAGGGTGTGGGACCCAATGTAGCCCCCAAAAGATTCCTGGAATTTTTCAATTGCCCAGATTTGATTACAAGTCTCTGGAGCTGGAGTGCCGGGCTGGCACCTTGTGTATCTCAACCACCCGGTCATAAAAAAATGTTAAGATGACTGGAATTATGCATAACGAAAAAGGAAGTAGATGATATTCGCCTGAGGGGCTAAAACTTAACTTTGTATTCAGATTAGAACAAAATTAAATGTTTATCTCACTAATTTTGTCTTGGATAATATTACTTTAGTTAAAATATTAATCTTCAAAATTATTTAACTTAATAAACCCAATAATTTTCATTATAATCTTCCATCCCTAAAACAATAATCTTTACACAACTTAAGAGCCTGTGCAGAAAGTACAAATTTTTTTCTGTTGATGAATAAATTATATTAATATTAGTTTTGCAAAAAAAAAAACCACACTAATGTCAAAAATACAGTCTTTCTTGAAACAGAGATAATAAGAAAAAATTAATAAAACTTTGTCTAAATATATAAAAATTATAGGGAATTACTTACAGTGTGATCTTTAGGATTTAAAATGGTCGAAGATGATTTATCTTCTTTTGATTTCGGTCGTAGGAGCTGTTTCAGACTGCTTATTTTCTGCAATTTATTATCATTCTGCGTCTTTTCTTCTTCTGTCACAGATAATGTTTGTTTGTTGTATGATGGATGACGTTGCACATTATATTTGTGCGGCCGGTCTGCTCTCAGTCTGGCAAACATGTCCGACATGTGCAGATTCCCTGTCACTCCTGGACTGTGAGCCACACTGGCAGATCTCGATTCGGCCAACGACAAATCAGACAGATGGAAAATGTCATCCTAAAATCATCAGAATATATTTTTTTAAGGTCAAAGAAAAGATAATTTAACCAAACTTGTAACAATACTAAATGATAAAGCCAGATTAATGGTTAATGGCTAGTTAATAATATATATATTATGCTTGTTTGTTTGTTTTGTTAGGATACAGCAATGCAACAATGATCTCCCTAGGGGAATGCCTTTCAGAAGGTCTTTTTAAGGGTAACTGGCTGAATAGGGATTCAAGCATTACAGACATGGAGAAAACTGGAAAACTCCACGTGGCCAGCCTGTCTGGACGAAGCACAACCCCATGACCAAACTCCCATGGCCGATTGCAGAGACAGAGTTTACATTAAACGACGTTTACATTGGCTCTTACTTACTTCGCTATTACTCCCCTGTTTTAGGAGTCGTTCGGCCAATCGGATTATTTCTTCGTGACGTCAGAAATGGTCAAGTGAGTCTAGAAAATAGGTCAAATAACTTGTTTCTAATCGCTGTCTACAAGACAGCGATTAGAAACAAGTTATTTGACCTATTTTCTAGACTCACTCGACCATTTCTGACGTCACGAAGAAATAATCCGATTGGCCGAACGACTCCTAAAACAGGGGAGTAATAGCGAAGTAAGTAAGAGCCAATGTGTAAACGTCGTTTAATGTAAACTCTGTCTCTGCAANTGGCTATTGTATCGTTAAAAATTATTTCTTAATTTTTTTTGTTTTTATATTTTTCGATATATTTATTTTGTTTGTACAAAATTATACTTTAGAAATTAATCTAGTATCAAAAATGTTCGATTCAGCACGACACACAGTCCTCAGAAAAACACCACACAAAAGTGCCAGTGCTGCCAGCTAAAACACATACACAAATGTAAAAAATATTGTTGTAGCCCAAGATATAGCCGAAGATTGCAGCACCATAGCACAGCAAATATTTAAATTTGCCAACTGGAATTCTTTTGGATAACTGATGTTTCAGACAACCGACTTTCGGATAAACGACGCTCTACTGTGTATATATATATATATATATATATACAGTAGAGCATCGTTAAATATATATATATATATTTTATCTTGTATAATAAAGGTTTAGAAATTCCACAGTTTTGCACATAATCTAATGAACAAATACTGTATGTCTTCCTCTTTTTCTGGAATTTTTGGGCATCAAAGATTGCAGTCAATGCAAGATTAGTCAAGACTGTTGCAATCTATTCACAATATCCACTGCTATTTTTCTACTTTGAATGTATGGTACAGTAGAGTGTCGTTTATCCGAATCAATTGGGGACTGGGATTGTTCAGATAACTTATTTTTCGGATAACTGATTATGTATGAGAAAATATATTAACCTATCCCATGCTGAAAGTTTTTTCCGTTGTGTTTCGCTTTGCATTGAATTTTCGTCGATGTTAAGCCTAACATAAACTTTTTAAAATAATAATCGTGACTATTGTATCGTTAAAAATTATTTCTTTATTTTATACAAAATAAATATATTGAAAAATATAAAAACAATAAAAAAATTATACTTCAGAACTTAATTTAGTATCAAAAACGTAAAATATTTGAGGTAGCCCAAGACATAGCCAAAGATTGCAGCGCCACAGCACTAGCAAAAATTTAAATTTGCCAACTGGAATTCTTTCGGATAACCGACTTTCGGATAAACGACGCTCTACTGTATTCATTGGTGCTTTTTGGAGTGCTTCTAAAAACAATCTTCCTCTAGTTGAGCCTTTCGAGTATAGTTAACTTTTGCGTGCAATGTGTACATGTTATGGGAAGATGCACCATTCATATTTGATAAAATAATTATTTTAATAATAATAATAATTTCCAATAAATACCAGAAGTGCACATTATTTCTTCAAGTACAGTCGACCCCCCTATAACGCGCATTCCTATAATGACAATTCCTATAACGTAGCGAAAAAATTGTAGCAACATTCGTATAAAGTACCTCCTATAACGTCGTTTCACGACAAGATTGATAGAATCTGGACCAATAGTGGATGAGCAGCCAAACTACTTTCCTCCGACCCTGCGCCACGCTACGGAGCGGCTAAATTGAGTTTGCTATCGTCTGACAGTATTATATATAAATTATATATAAATTAGGTACTGTACATATAATTATATATTAATTATATATAAATTAGGTACTGTATATATAATTATATATTAACTTAATTTATTGTAACTTTATTATAATTA